TGCTAACTCCTACTATCGATAAAGTTCTAGCTAGTAACTATTAGCAGCTATTACAGGCTAGACAACCTAGCTAGTAGTAGACTAAGTACGGTAGTAATCCTATTCTACCGAGCTCTGCCTTTAGTAGTATCGGCATGCCCGCTAGTAACCCTAATTATCCGCCTATTCGAGATACTCGACGCTAGTTTAAGTGTAGCATTTGCGACTAGCTACGCGCTATTGCCCGCAAGTTCGACGTACCTAAAGCCGATACTAATACCGACGTCTGCTACTATTGTGCTAAAGGAGATAATAATAAGGCTAGTTAATATAAGTAGTATATCCTTCGCCGATACGAGACTAAGCGATACGAGTTCTACTTACCTAACGGCTTATAAGAACTCGAGAATTGCTATATAGCTTACCGTATCGTTCGTAACGACGATAATCTACTATCTTATCGCGCACCTCGACTAGGATAGCGCGAGCGTGCCCGCGTAGATCGACAAAAGTAGGACCTTCGCAACTATTTCCTTACTACCGATCTAGTTAATCTACCGATTTAAGTACGTACCGATCTTAATAGCTAAAAGGCTCTTACCGACATTAACTACGACTTAGTTAAGAACTTCTTTACTATATTAGAAGAAGAGAAGATAGAGACCTACTAGAATAAGGAACTATAGAAGGGATATAAAGAGCGTTAGTTTAATATATAACTAGACACCCGCGAAGACTCTCCTATATATAATATCTATAAGAAGTGCCGTTTAATACGCGACTTTAGCAAGCGGCCTAAAGAGCCTAATCTTATGTTAGTAGCTAACCTTATAGACCTAGGCGAGTACCTAGTATACCTACCGAAGCTAACGATAGTAGAAGAGATCCTAATCGTACGTGTTTATATATACGTCGAGCTGCGGCTTATTAAGGGCGCTTAGTACCGATATAAGAACAACGTCGTTAACTTTCTTCGCGATATAGGCAAGCTTTAGTAGGAGCTTCCGCTACTTCCTAAACACTTAGAGACTGTTCTACTACGACTAGCATAGGGCGACGAGACTACGAAGCGTATATTTAAGCGCGACTTCCGCGTCCGTTAAGCTGTTATCCGTTAGTAGCTGTTATATCTTAAAGACAACTACAAGGGCTATTCTAGTATCCTTATCGATAAGAACCGCTTATCTAGCCTACTATAAGATAATAATGTGATCAATCGCATTAATGTTTAGTACTATATAGAAGATAATCTTCCCCCGCTACCTCCGAACGCATCCGCCTAGCAGCTATCTAAACAAGCCGAAGTCTCTAGCTAGGAAGAAGACGACTTTGCTAACTACCCATTTGAGTTAGCTCTGCCTTAAGCTCGCCTACCTAAAGACTAACGCTAGCAATTGTAAGAGGTTGTCGATTAGTAGGAGTAGCAGCGTTAGGACAAGGACAACGAGCTCCGTATACAAGCCTCTTAGTACGATAGTCCTAGAGATCCGCTATAGAATTACTTAACCTTGCCGCTATTCGATCGTATACCGCTGTCTAAATTTAACAAGTCGGTAGTATTGCTATCTCTCGCTTTTCTAACACTCTATCTAACAGGTATTGCGGACTTCGTAGAATGCCGATAGCGCACCGTATTATACGAGGAATACATCGAGCATATACTTAAATACTAAGACGGCCGCTTCGTATAGTACCTACGCTTCCGTTACGTCGCTTTAAATATATCGATAAGAAAGTAGAGCAATCGTATTGCGGATTTCGTAGTATAGTAGAACCCTAAATATTAAGAGATCTCGCTTAAGGATCTAAAGGCGGCTCTGGCTTTATATAACGATAATAAGTTAAAGAAGGTACTGTCTAACCTTATAAGATACGCCGACAAGTTGCGAGGCACCCGTACCTTCTAGATCGGCAAGCGGAAGCAGCTTGAGATCTATATTATAGCTCTCGGTACGCCTTACCTGTTTCTTACCTTTAGCGCTACAGACAACTAGTAGTAGTCTTTATAGAAGCATATGCCTAACATCCCTACCGGCGATAAGCATTAGTAGCGCAAGATTGCCCGCGACAATGTACGAGACAATCTAGCTATCGCTACCTATTACTACTATCGTCGCTATACCCTCCTATAGCGAATAGTGCTTAAGCCTAAGTTCGGCATTGTCGATTACTAGAATCGCTTTAAATTCTAGGCACGTAGCAGCTCTTACAATTACGGCATATATTAGCTCTAAACCGATATCGATCCGGAGACCTAGTAAGATCTCTTACCTCTTCCGAAGTCTAATATAGACACGGACCGGACTACCCTAGCTAAGTTCTAGGGTCGTTATGTCACTGCCTTCTAACTAGACCCTAACCGGACTAGTCTACAGCTAGGAGAGCCTATAGTGCTGTCTATGCGACTAGATAAGCTACGTAATACGGCATATCTGCTAATATTGAACCTTAATAGAGTTTAGCGTTACAAATGCGGCTACGAGTACTGTTAGCGTAAGAACAAGGACACTAGTATACGTAGTTGTCGCTTCTATTATCCTCGAGAACTCTACGACGAAGCACGTATTAGTAGAGATCTTAACCCTCGGCATTTTATATATAACGGACCTCGCAACGATCCCTAGATAAATGGCTATAACCGCACCGTTTCTATAGCTTAGCTAGCGAATACGGACTTCGCTCTATGCACGTCTAAAGGCACCGTTGTCGACTATCTTGCTAAGTACTATAGTAAGGCAGAGAAGCGTAGTATACCGTTACTCGACATTGCTAAGTAGCTTAGTCCTTATCTATAGAATGCTAATCGGCCTATAGTCTCTTTCTTCGTAAAGATAATAAACAAGCTTATCGGTAAGAGAGATATTTTAGTATAGGAAGCCTGCTACTAGTTGCTTAGTTTACCTCTTTTATAGGGCTCGCGTTAAGTATAGAGCTTCGATTGTCGCCTTCCTTAGAATTAAGCGAAAGTCAAGCGATATAATAAGCGAGCTAGCGAGATCGTTATATAAGGCAAGTTACCGCTGCTTAAGTATATTGATCGTCTTAGCATCTTACCTAAGAAATTTGCTAAGTCGGACCTCCTAAACCGGCCTAATCTTACCCTCTTTGAGTTCTTAACTCGTTAGGACTTTAGTATATTCAAGATGCGACCTCGGGCAAAAGCTCGCCTGCTTAATTACTTTCCGAAGTACTCCGGTAATCGGGAGGAAGATAATAGCACGTACGAGGACTATTGTCGCACTAAGATCGTATTGTATTACCTATTCGATAGCTAATACCCTACTCTTCTATATACCTTTAGCGATTACGCGGATGAAGAGTTTTACACTTAGTAGGATGCTTATAACTAGTGCTCTTACAACTATACTTACTATCCTTTCGACTACTTCGGTATCAATCTGCCTATACCGACTAAAGACCTGTTTAAAGAAGAATAGTATAATCTAGAAGAGGAAGAAGCTAAGGGTGAGCTTCTCGTACGCGCTATCCCTAATCGCAACCCTATAGAAGAAGAGGAAGACCTTAACAACCTTAGCAATCGTAAGTTAGATAAGGACTATAATTAGACTCCTTATATTAGGCGTTACGATCTCGGACATCAGCTTAAGGACTAGTAGAAGAACAAGCGTAGTACTAGTAATACTTATTAGAAGATTAGTAGTATTGCAAACCTATAGTAGAAAGTTAATAGCCTCTCCCTAGAATAGCGGCTCTAGTATAATCGCATCTACAACTACGCTAACGAGTTACTAAATAGCGCTACTGTACTAGATTAGATCTTGCTCAACATTAATAGTAAGGCAGGCGTTAGCAAGTCCTATATAATTGAGCTTCTCTCTTCCGCTATTAAGGAGATAGTAGAACAGTAGGATTCTGCTAGCGTATAATACTAAATAGGAAACCCTATTATGCGAATTGCTCTAACTAGTGCTGCTACCTTTAGTATTAAGGGCTCTACAATTCACTCGGCTTTCCGCTTGCCTCTTACGATAAAGGAGTATATACCGCTTAAGGGTAGAGCATTGTCGGCTTTCTAGGTATATATAAGCAACATACTCTATATTGTTATTAATAAGAAGTCAATAATTGACTTAGTAGAGCTATACTAGATCGACAGGCGCTTACGACAGGTCGGATAGCAAGACACAAGCTACCCTTAAGAAGATTAAGATAATCCGGAAGTCGATACCTTATTGCCTTTCGGAGGCTTTACTATCTGTATATGCGGCGACTTTAGTTAATTACTCCCGATTAGAGGCCGCCCTCTTTTTAGCAGACCGACCCTAACTAACTTACCTAAAGTTGTCCTAGGTCGGTATATATAGTATCTCTTTAACGAGACTATTTAGCTTAATGTTATTCAACGCTAGCAAGGAAATGACCTAGTAGTATAGGCATTCAAAGATGCGCTTAAAGGTCTGCGTGCAGGTCTAGGCAAGTTGACTATTAAGTAATAGCAGACTCTTACGACCCGTATCCGAGATGCTTCTTATCCTTATCTAGTACAATTCAAGGATACGATCCGGCTGTTTAGTTACAAGAAGTAGGTATCGACTCTTAACTATACCTTAATGCGCGACAATTAGCAACCGATTAAGCCTATTAAGGCTAAACATACAGGTCGTTATGCTGCCTAAGCTAACTACGAGACTAGCGAAAACCTATACAAGATCCTTCTAATCTGTATTAACGCCCGCGTTATAGTAACTAAGAACCTTTAGGTATAGCAGGGTATTATTAATAGCAGTATAGGCACCGTCCGCGATGTAATCTAGGCTAAGGACGCATTACGTACCGATTAAGAGGTTGTTAACGAGGATATGCCGGCTATTGTACTAGTCGAGCTAGACGAGTATTCTAGACCGATACTAAACTAGGAAGTTAATAGTCTACTATCGAATATAGTGCCTATCGTGCCTTCTCGGCGCGAATAGAAGTACAACGATCGCACTAATAGCTAATGCACCCGTACTTAGTTCCTACTAACTATCGTATATACTATTATAGTTTATAAGTCGTAGGGCATAACATTAGATAAGGGTGTTCTTAACATCTCTAAGAAGGACTTTACGCCTGCCTTAACTTATATTGCTTGCTCTCGCTTCCGCAACCTCGATAACATCCTATTCGACGAGCCTTTCAATTACGACCGCTTTAAGGGTAAGCTATACAAGTTATATATCGACCGCTATACTAATTACATTCGCCGCAAGAAGCAGCGAACGTTGCCGCCTAGAGCTATGCTTTCCTCCGACCTACCGCACCTAGACATTAAGGCTGCTAAGCGTAACGAACGTTAATAGCAGCGCGATCTGTAGACTCTATAAGCTTAGTAGGAACACTGTCTTTAGTAGTAACGCGCGCGAGAATAGGACTAGGAAGAGGCTCTCCGTCGTCGTTAGTAAGAAGAAGAGGCCTAACTCGAGGCAGACTTAGTTGAAATTGCTAAGATAGAGTCTCGTAGTCTAGGCTAGCAGCCTAAGTCTTCTAACGAGGAAGCTACCCTTCCGGTCGCATCTCTTCCGTTCCTCGAGCGTATACTTATAACACTTATCGTTCCTAGAAAGCGTATATTACTTAGGGTGCTACGTCGAAACTTTATAGAGGTCTATAGCCGTCGTATATAGGGCCTTGACTTTACCGATGCGCTGCGCAATATAGCCGCCCGTAACGAGGTTGTTATTAACGGCCTAAGTATAAGTGTTCCGAAGCGTCGTACCGATTAAGATTAGGGTCGTCTTAGCGATCGACAAGTCGCTAGCGAGTTCCTTAATAACGAGACCTTCTAGCGTAATGTTAATGCTAACCGCCGAGCCTAGTAGTCTTAGTTAGGACAACTCCTTCGAGCTAGTAATATTATAGACAGCTAATAGGGTACTTAGTACGACTAGGGCACCTAGCAAGAGCAAGACACTAAGATAATAGATACTAGAGATAAGGAGATTGATAAAGACACACGCATTTAAATTGCTTTAGTTAATAAATAGGCGCGTTAGTAGGCCTTCGATAATCGATTACGTCGCAATTAGGAGGAAGACTTAGAGATAGCGTAGGGTAATAACGATAACGAGACCTTCGAGTAAAGGATATAGCGATGAATGTGTAGTTATAGTAGCATACATATAAGCGCTCTAGTAGGCGCTAATCTGAATTTGTTCTCGAGCTCTACGCCGTCGCTCCGCTCGAATAGGACAAGTACTATAGGGCTTAAACGATACTTTATAGAATTAATCTAGAGGCTAGTAGGCGAGCAGAGGCACTATTACTAACTAGATACGAGCCGTACGAGAAAGCTACTAAGACTCGATATATAGACTTATTAGTAGTGCTAGCATACTAAAGCCGTATAGGGTTACTTAACTTTATAGTAGTTTAAACTAGGCCGGACATTACTAAGGCAGTATCCTTGCTATCTAAGGCTCTTTGGAACCTACGACCTAAGGATATAGTGTAAGAAGGGTATGTTAGCAGGTAGATAGGGTAGTAGTAGGTATAGGTAGTATTCGATAAGGAGCTAGGAGGAGAGGGAGGAAGGCAGGCAAGTTAGCCTATTGCTAAGCGCTAAGCCCTGCCTAAGGCATTAAGACCCTAGCTTTACTCGAGCCCGGTTATATACTAATTACGTATAACCTCTTTAGTCCTAATATACGCTTCCCCTCTAAAGGCCGCGCCCTCGTAGCCGGTCTTTGTTCTAGTCTTAACCTCTATTGCTACTAACTTAGTAGGTCTAATAAGCCGCTTAGTCCGCGCTAAATTAAACGCATAACTACCGATTATGTAACTATATTAAACCTTACCTCTAATATAATACAATGTCTAACTCTAACTACGCTATCCTTACATATAATAAAGTAATATATAACTATAAGAATTAAGGACTATCGACTAATTACAATACAAGCGTACCTTCCCTACTATAATAGGTAGGTATACGGGGTATTATAGCACTGCCCCCGTTCTAAGTAATGTCGTACCGAGTTCTCTACGTCTACTCTTAAAAGACCTAGAAATGTCCGCTTCCGAGGGTTGTTCTTATTATTACGAGGGATTGTTCTTATTATTACGAGGGCTATTATTTACTATCGTAGTTTCGCTAGCCCTAATTAGTTAGGTTTAGCAGCCTTTAATTGTTAATCTTATCTTATCTTTTTAGAAAAAACACAGCTCGTCTAGTTTCTATAGGTAAAGGCTATTATAAGTGCAATAGTTAAGGTTTGCCTCGCTTAAAGGGTCGGAAAGATCGAGGAGTAACCTATTGTCCGCAAGATCGACCCCGGCTAGCTTAGCTCTATAGTTTTGCCCTTAGTTAGTTAGTCTATTAAGCTACTTAATCTTTTTAAGCCTTAATATTTTAACTTAGCCTTAAAGTTTTAATTAACCCCTTAGTGCCTTAGGCTCGTAGTATAGGTAAGGTTGTCTTCGTAGGTATAGTAATAATAGTAGGTAACGTTAATAATAGCGGTACTAGCCGTCTTAGCGCTAACTTTACCTTGCTTCTAATTTCCTTCTTTAACTAATAATATTAGCAATACTGTTACTAATATAGCCGTATCGGCTTCCTTCGATAGCAATATACTCCGTAACACTATTACTAATATAGTCGTATTAGCTTCCTTCGATAGCAACACACTCCGTAATACTATTACTAATATAGTCGTATCGGCTTCCTTCGATAGCAACATACTCCGCAATACTATTACTAATATAGTCGCGCCGGCCGCGCCGTCCTCGCCGATTGCCTAGGCCTCGATAGAATAAGGGAATAAGAGAGGGACCTAAATACTAGGAGAAGGGCCTTATAGGGCGCGTTAGTAGAGAGGTAGTTTCCTAAAAGAGCAGCGAATAGTTGACGCGTTATAGCGCGCTTGTTAACACTCGGTGCGCGTTTACTATAGTAGTATAGTCTTATTGTCCTAGTTTGCCGGCCTCTAATTAGTTAGCTAATAATACCCCGGAGGCACTATTAATCCTAGGCCTTAATAGTAACATTATAGGCCCTTAGCCTTCTTCTTGTTCTTTATACTAGTCTAATACTTATCTAACAACTTAGTTATGTCTTTAAAAGAGGCTTTAGCTTCCTACGAGTCCTATTTAGGTAAATAGCCTTACTATCTTAATAGGTACTCCTTCTTGCCTTTCCTAGTCCGGTGCTATAGGATACGTTCTATAGACTATAGCTCTTTACTATCCGCTAGTATGTCTTCGTGTTTAGTAGGGGCTTTATCCCCCTCGCGTAGGTAATATAGCTTAAGGAGGGATATATAGAAGGTGTTATAGATAGTATAATAAGGAGGAAGCTATAACTAATAGGCCTATACGGAGGAGCCCTTAACTTCTCGAATACGGAATAGACTAATATATCTTAGTACGAGCTTAGGCCTTGTTTTGCTATTAGGTAATAGGTGCTTGCGGATACGGAGGTTCTTAGTACTTAGCATAACTATATCGCCTTGCTTAAAGGTTATCGGTGTATAGTGTTTGTTATAATAGGCCTTCTAATAGGCCTAGGCCTTTGCTAGTTTGTTAGCTATTATAGCGTGAATTTCTCGCATCTTTTAAGCCCTCTCTATAGCCGCTAGTGTTTTAGGGGCTTAACGCGCTTCCCTTTCCTTACGCTCGGCCTCGAGCGAGGTAAATAGATCTTATAGTAAGGCAGCGTTTTAGCCTATTATAGCTATATACGGTGAAACCTTAGTTAATAAGTAGATACTATTATTATATACGAATTCGGCTAGTTATAGGAGGTTAACCTAGTCGTTAGGGTTCTTATTAATATAGCTGCGTAGGTACTGCTATAGGGTAGCATTTTGCCTCTCGGTTTAGCTATCTGTTTGTAGATAGAATGCTATAGACAGGCGATACTTAAGTCTTAGTTATAGGTATATCTTACTCTAATAATAAGATATGAATGTCGAGCCCCGGTTAGAGACTATCCTCTTAGGGGTTCCCTAACAGCCATAGAAGATGTTATTCTGTAGTAACTTAGCTAGGTTAATAGCTATCTAATCCTTCCGAGCGGGGATATAGCGAGCGCCCTTAGTAAACCGGTCTATAACGACTAGTATAGCATTAAAGACGTCCTTGCTTTCCTTTCGCTTAGTAGGGGGAAGACCTGTAGTAAAATCTGTTGTAAGCTCTACAAATAGCTTATAGGGGATTAGTAATAAGGACAACTCGCTAAAAGGCTAATGCTTTAGTGCCTTAATACGTTAGTATACGGCATACGTGTTTACGTAGTCCTTTATATCCCGCTTACTATTTAGCTAGTAGTATATACGCGATAGTAGCTCGTGCGACCTCTCTATACTATAGTAACCGGCAAGCTTACTATTATAGTATCGCTTAAGAAGCTCTTGTCCAATCGATTGTTTAGCGGGGATATAGTATCTGCCCTTAAACTTTAAGTAACCCTTGTCGTCGATCGACTAATTATTAGTACTCTTACTAGATCGAGTCTTTCGTCTACTTATAAGCTTATCGATACGTTTAGTAGCAAAGGCGTCCCTCTGCTAAGTACGTAATAGCTTATCTATAAACGATTAACTATCCCTATTCGCAAGGTTATTTAATAGTACCCTCGCTATCGAACGAGGTACGCATTATATATATCTAATAGCACTAGTAGCCGGATTAACTATAGTAGTACTATCGCTATTACTATATATAGCGATATCGACTAGGGAGTTATTATAACTTCTCCTATCTATATTATTAGCCCTTGCCTTAACACGTACTATTAATATAGCAAGAGCATTAATATGCTTCAAGCTATCGCGGAGTCCGGTAAGCCGCTTATCCTACGCTTGCCTTACTACGAGGTCTATAGCAATCTTATACTATAGGGTTAGAAACAATAAATTAATAGATTAGGTTTCGCTATCGTAATTAGGTCGCCTCGATAGGCTATTAGTAGGGTTACTTACGCCTAGCCGATATAATATATTAAAATCGAACCTAGCGAGGTAGACGGCCTATCTAGCCTATCGACCTATAACCCTAGTAACCTTAGTAATGCTACGAAGGTTGTTATAGTCCGTATAGACCTAAATAGGGTACTAAGCACTATCGAGATAATAGCGCTAGTATTTAAAGGCTTCTACGATTGCTAAGAGCTCTTACTCGTAGGTCTCGTACCGACGTTCTATATCGATTATCTTCCGTAAAAAGAAGGCAATTAGGTGCTAGTAGTAGTTACTGTCTAACTGCTAAGATATTATAGCTAATACAGCGAACTGTAAAGCGTTAGTCTTAATTCGGATCTGCTTATTTAGTATAAAATAGTGTAACAAGGGGACTTTAG